AATGATGATGAATCAGAGCAGACCTATGTCATGTTTAATCCCAGTGAGAGTCAAGTTGGGAATTGATAATTTCCTTCCTTTTTTTTTTTTTTCTGTACAGAGGATCAGTTTAGTATGCATTAAGTAAGGATTTCAACAGTTTGCACCCCCATAGAAACACAAAGTGAAATATATTGTTTGAGTACTCGTTATAGCATTAAATCTCAATGTACAGCACATTAAGGACAGAGATCCTACATGAGGAGTAAGTGCACAGTGACTCCTGTTGTTGACTTTACCAATTGACACTCCTGTCTATGGCATCAGTAATCTCCCTATGCTCCAGTCATGAGTTTCCAAGGCTATGGAAGCCCTCTGAGTTCTCCAACTCTTATCTTGTTTAGACAAGGTCATAGTCAAAGTGGAGGTTCTCTCCTCCCTTCAGAGAAAGGTACCTCCTTCTTTGATGGCCTGTTCTTTCCACTGGGATCTCACTCGCAGAGATCTTTTGCCAGAGTGTCTTGGCTTTCCATGCCTGAAATACTCTCATGAGCTTTTCAGCCAGCTCCGAATGCCTTTAGGGCTGATTCTGAGGCCAGAGTGCTATTTAGGACATCTGCCATTCTATGAGTCTGCTGGGTATCTCACTTCCCATGTTGGATCACTCTCCCCTTTATTTACTCCATCAGTTAGCGTTAGCAGGTACTAGACTTGTCTATGTGCTCCCTTTGACTCCCAGTCCCTTCACCATGACCAACTGTGAACTGAAACTGATCACCTGGAACAGTGAGATGGCATTGGTACATGCCACCTCGATGGGATTGAATTGGAATCCCCTGGTATGCTTCCAACTCCACCACTTGGGGCAAGTCAGCCTGAGCATGTCCCAAATTATACATCTCTTCCCTCTCCCATTCCCACCACCATGTTCAACAGGGTACAATTGCTTTTTTAAAAATTCAGACAGCTATGAGGCACACCATGGAAAAAAATGGAATTAAAATGCACATTGTCCATGCACTTTTTGAAGACACCTTGTGCTATCGACTGAAACCTCCGGTGCACACACAGAGGAGCACGTATGCAGTCAGGGGGCTTTGCAGCTGCTTGCCTAGGCAGAGGGGGCCTGAGGCAAATAGGAAGCAGAATTATGAAATATGATGAAACTCGTTCTGCCGTAGATGGCATTTTCTCACTTGGCTTTATTTCAGAAGAAGTAGAAGAAGTGGAAACTCTGGAAACACAGTGCAGCTTCTTACCTCAAGATGTTTGAAGTGTCTTCAGCATGCGAGTCACTGCACAAAGGGTTGGCTATGATCAGGCAGGCTTCCGCAGATTCCACCTGCTCTTCAAGACGAAACAGAAGCCATCTTGTTAATTACATGGGCAATGCTCTAGCATTCCATTTGGGTTCTCTGAAGGTTTTGGTCACTGAATTGCCAACAAGAATGGGAATGCTTTTGAGAAGCAGTTGTGGTATTCTTACACCAGTATCAGTTCTGTTAGTGTTGCAAGGCCTGTGAGGACTACAGCTGATGGACCAGGGCACCGTGTCCCTAATGTAGATGTTAAGATTATTTTTAGGCCGGCGCCGTGGCTCAACTGGCTAATCCTCCGCCTAGAGGCGCCAGTGCACCAGGTTCTAGTCCCGGTTGGGGCGCCGGATTCTGTCCCGGTTGCCCCTCTTCCAGGCCAGCTCTCTGCTGTGGCCAGGGAGTGCAGTGGAGGATGGCCCGGGTGCTTGGGCCCTGCACCCCATGGGAGACCAGGATAAGCGCCTGGCTCCTGCCTTCGGATCAGCGTGGTGCACCAGCTGCAGCGCACCGGCCGTTGGAGGGTGAACCAACGGCAAAGGAAGACCTTTCTCTCTGTCTCTCTCTCTCTCTCTCACTGTCCACTCTGCCTGTCAAAAAAAAAAAAAAAGATTATTTTTAAATAGGTAAAGACCAATTCATGCTTTTCCTCCTATCACAATCATTTTATGTCTAGTAATGAGCAATAAAACCTTTTAAAGAAACTTCCTGTATATTTATTTGTCTTTCAGCTCAGTAATGCATAAAACAAGTGGGAGTCTGCTTAGCCCAAGGCAAGCAGTCATTCAAAAATGTGGATTTTGAATCTTAAGGTGCCTAGGAAGTTATTGAACGATCTTATAGTACTGAATAGCAAGAAAGAGAAAGACTGTGCTGGATCTGTCATTTTTTTTCCTCCTTCAATTCATTATATTGACTCTATGGATCTCTGCTTTAAACTAAAACTTCTGGGTTTATTGATTCTGCAAAACTTAGAACATGACAGGAAGTTGTCTTTGATCTTGAACGAAACCTGTCTCCAGAGAGTTGGTTGTGGCTCGTTATTTTTAGTTCCAATCTTCATAGGATTCCTGCTATTCTCCTTCATGTTTCTGCCATCAGAAGGCACGCTAGTGTGTTTACGAAGAGACACTGATGGGGGGGAATGACCAAACACAGTTTTTCTATCCATAACTTTGCATGTCTCTTATGCTGAGAAAACAAAATTGCCCTAGATAAACAGAGAACTCAATGACATGAATAATTTAAATACACGTGGGGGAAACGTGGAGGTGTGCGTGATAGTTACCATGAGGATTTGGAGGTTAATTACTGCACTTCCTTTCTGATCAGTTTCTGAAGTGCATGAAGTCAATATTTTCCCCCAATTAAGGAGTCTGGAGCAATACCCTTGCAACAGAGCCATGTATTTAGCACCGTAAGTGCTGCAGCTCCAGGAACCTGCGAGGAGGGTAAGATCGAGGCCTTACCGCAACCCGCCTCAGATCCTCCCACTTCAGTGCAGATCCGCAGATAAAACTCGTGTAGGCCAAATTGCACTTAAATATCTTCTCCAGCTCCAAAGAAGGAGGGGACCTGGGCGAAAAGGAGAAGAGAATGCCGACTCGCATTCAGAGGTTGCTATACGTCATTGGTGCATTTCATAAGAGGCTCTGCTCTAAATACCCATGCTTTTGGGAAACATCTGTCCTCCAATATTAATCCAAGTGGTGGGGCCAGCCCTGTGGCATAGCAAATCCAGCTGTTGCAGCCATCTGGGGAGTGGACCAGTGGATGAAAGACCTCTCTCTCTCTCTCTCTCTCTCTCTCTCTCTGCCTCTCCTTCTCTCTCTGTGTAACACTGACTTTCAAATAAATAAATAAATTTAAAAAAAGAAATCCAGGTGGTTAGGTGATATTGATGCCATTAACCTAACTCTAATGCTAGGCATTTAGTTCAGGCTCTTTCAGTCAAATTCCCATGAAGAAACAAGTGAATGCTAATTAAAAAATGCAATATTATGGGTGAAGAAGTTCACTACATAGTAAAAAAAGAGAGCTAATTGAAAATACATAGCATTTTAAACAACTACTATAATAAAATACATGAGGTAAAAATGGCAAAACTAGAGGGAGAAATGGATGCATCTACCACTATGAAGAAGAATTTCAGTATGTCTCGATTATTAATAGATTAAACAGAAAAATCAAGCATGTAAGTTTCACATTTATAAATTCTTCAACCAACATTCAGAAAGATTAGTTATTTTCAGTAACCCAAGAATATTTACCAAGCTGATAATTAATTAACCAAGAAGGAAAGTTTCAACACTTTATAAAATATATTGTCCATATGATGATATTTGAATACAGTATAATAAAATTAGAAGTTAATAACCAAAAGATAAATAAAAATATCCCTCATATTTAGAAATTATAAAAATTAGACACTTAAAATATTGTGGGCTAAGAAGAAATTAAAATAATTCTTATAATTGTTCTTAGGAACAAAATATTTTTAAAATATTAAATATGACTTTGGATACCACAATGGCAGTGTTTTGGGTGAGACTGATAGCTTTAGACACTAATATTTGAATAAACCCAAAGAAATAAGAAGGAAATAGATAATAAAAACAAGGGTGGGATAAAATGAAATAGAGAAATAAAAGAATAGAGAAAATAAACAAGATCAAAAGCTGGTTCTTTGAAAAATAACATAACAAGCAAAATAGGTAAAATTGATGGAGATAAAAAAGGAGACAAAAATGACTTAGATTGAATGGAGAGGATTTAATGCTTCCAGGAAAAATAAATGTGGAACATGAAGTAGACAACAAACAATCATGTACCAACAGCTTTGAAAACAGGCAAAATAGACAGATTGCTAAAGAGATTTTACCAGAACTGATTGTGGAAGGATGAAAGAAAGAAATTGAAGGTTGGCTTAGAACCAAAACTAAATCAAAGGAAACACACACACACACACACACGCACACATCAAACAAAATGTCTGTACTTAGAAACCTTATTTTTTAAAATAACAGATAATGTTATGTGACTTTTATTATGTAGAACATTATGGTTTTGTGGATAATTAAGTCCAACAAGCACAATACTTCATACAGTCACCATTTTTGTGGTGGCAGTGTATAACATCTGCTTAACATTTTTCAAGAACACAATATATCATCATCACCTTGTGGGAAAATAGATCTCTTGAAACATATTGCTTCTATCCAACTGTGATGAAGTATCATTTAACACGAATGGCAGGACTTCAAAGACTGAATAGAATGAAATTGGCAAACAAAAAATCTGTCTGCACCTTAATGTTTATTGCAGCTCAATTCACAATAGCTAAGACCTGGAACCAACCCAAATGCCCATCAACAGTAGACTGGATAAAGAAATTATGGGACATGTACTCTATAGAATACTATATAGCAGTCAAAAACAATGAAACCCGATCATTTGCAACAAGATGGAGGAATTTGGAAAACATCATGCTGAGTGAATTAAGCCAGTCCCAAAGGGACAAATATCATATGTTCTCCCTGATCGGCGACAACTAACTGAGCAACAAAGGGGGAACTTGTTGAAGTGAAATTGGCACTATGAGAAACAGTGACTTGATCAGCTCTTGTCCTGACTGTTGATGTACAATGTAATACTTTATCCATTTTAGTATTTTTTTTTGTTCTAGTACCATTGGTTGAACTCTGTAATTAACACACAATTATTCTTAGGTGTTTAAATTTTAACTGAAAAGTGATCCCTGTTAGGAATTTGGAAAACATTATGCTGAGTGAAATAAGCCAGTCCCAAAGGGACAAATATCATATGTTCTCCCTGATTGGTGACAACTAACTGAGCACCAAAAAGGAAACCTGTTAAAGTGAAATGAACACTATGAGAAATGGTGACTTAATCAGCCCTTGCCCTGACTGTTGATGAACAATTTAATACGTTATCCCTCTTAGTATTTTTTTTATTTGTTCTACTTAATACTTTTGGTTGAATACTGTAATCAATACAAAGTTATTCTTAAGTGCTGAAACTTAACTGAAAAGTGATCGCTGTTAAATATAAGAGTGGGAATAAGAGAGGGAAGAGATGTGCAATTCGGGACATGCTCAAGCTGACCTAACTCAAATGGTAGAGTTAGAAACATACCAGGGGATTCCAATTCAATCCCATCAAGGTGGCATGTACCAATGCCATCTCACTAGTCCCAGTGACCAATGTCTGTTCACAATTGATCATAATGATAGGACTAAGAGACAAAGGGATCACATAAACAAGACTAGTGTCTGCAAATACTAGCTGATAGAATAAAAAAGGGAGAGA